TACTGGCATCATTTATGATTGTGACACTATGATTATCAACTTTTTATTATCTATTCTATTACTTGTGACATTGGTAGGGGTACCTGATATAATTCATAATTTTGTCGATGTAGGGACGACGGGGAGCGGTTACGGTGCTAATTGTACAATAGTTAGCACCGTCCTAACCAAGGGAAAAACTACTACTAGTTTCAATTAGTAGTGATTTAGCTTAGATGTTGTATTGATTTTATAATAAGCCGTAGTGATTTCGTTATTTTTACTAGCGTTTTTTGCTAGTTATCACGGTGCTAACCTCTATAAGGGTTAGCACCTAATCTCATCCCAGGGACGACGCTGAAGATCGATTTCCTTAGGTGATTAAAGAAAAACCCTTACCTTTTAGAAAAAATGGAATCATATACATTAGAGATTGTGAAATCAATTAAAGAGGCGTCGAATCACTACTCTCGTATTCTGATCTTATTTATCTCATCAATCATCGATCTCATTAGTTTGTACATATTTTCGAACAATTAACTGTTACTATTTTTTATTATTTTTTCCATTTATGGAAACAAGATATTAATCTGGATATATAAACTTGGTTAACGATACTGGCATCATTTATGATTGTGACACTATGATTATCAACTTTTTATTATCTATTCTATTACTTGTGACATTGGTAGGGGTACCTGTATATAATTCATAATTTTGTCGATGTAGGGACGACGCTGAAGATCGATTTCCTTAGGTGATTAAAGAAAAACCCTTACCTTTTAGAAAAAATGGAATCATATACATTAGAGATTGTGAAATCAATTAAAGAGGCGTCGAATCACTACAAGAAAAAGGAGGCTATGGCAAGGGTTTTTTTAACCTATACCAAGGGTTGTAACCCCAGCTATAAGTTGTAGCAAGGGTTTACCCAAACCCTTGCACCAACCCTTAGCAAAGCTGCCCCTGCTAGACGTAGCAAGGGTTTTCAGCAACCCTTGGTGGTCCCATGCAGGGGTTGTAGCAAGGATTTAAACCCTTGCTACACTTCAATGTAAAATACAACAAGAAAATATTCATAGAATGAATCCTTGCTACACTTCAATGTAAAATACAACAAAAAAATATTCATAGCATGGGTTGTAACCCTTGATAAGTGAGTCGCTAAACATAGTGTAACTAAAATGAAAATTTGCTCGTAGCAAGGGTTAAAACCCTTGCTTAATTCGTCACTAAAGGTCAATGAATGTTTTGCTTCGCGTCCAAAATCGTCACTAAAGTTTTATTCTTAAGAAATGTGTTTCATTAGTAACGACACTCTGGTTACAAATGCTGTGTCATTATATGATTGCAAAATCATCATTGTTTACAAATGCACCGTCACTAAAGAGAGGTGCATCATTAGCAATAACACTTTCGTTACAAATATGATATTATGGTCACTATTCAAACATTCTGATATAACTGATGGGCCTATTTTCTAACAACAACCAGCTCAACATTCTGGTCATAAAGAGAGGATCACACATAAAACTGAAAGTCTGATTACTTTGTAACTATGAAACCTCAAAGAGGATAAGGAACCTACAAATAAGGATTATAGCCTGTGAAGATATCTGCTAAACTGAATTGCCATTGAATCTCAGAGCAATAGACGCTCAACTTCAAGCCACCATACTGAAATGTCATACAATCATAATCTCAAATGTCATACACACTAGACTATTATACTAACAGTATAAAACCATGCATTTCTTTGTCACAACTTGCAACACAAACCAAGAAGTGTAGCTTCAACCACTAAATGTAAAGTAATGATAAGTACTGGAACCTAGAGAGCAATTGGCCAATAATACAAGGGACCATAATACTGGAACTCGGGAGGCTTTTATTTGGAAACGAGTTATGCAGAAAATTCATTTCCTATCATCTCAGAAAATTAGATATGCTCAAACAAAGAAATCTAAGTAGGTTCAAGAGTCAAACTTACTTGATTACACGAAGAAGAGGACTCCCTTAAGCAGCGCTACTCTCATGGGAATGACCATGCTCTTCTAGGAGCTCGTCGATTCCAATGAACCCCATATTCTGCAATCCAAACCTGCATAAAACAAGAAAATTCAACTTTAAAGGCACTTGAAAATACAAAACTGCTGAATTAACAACTAATTCTTATGTCATTGGAAGGAAATAAAAATTTACCGACTGTATTTTCCACCACTACGCACAAGAATGATCATGTTTAACTACTTACGAAGCGTTTCCATGTGCCAGGAGAGGAATATCTCAAGCATCATCATCTAACACTCAGTAGGCACAAGTATGTTGATTATATTAAAAAAAAAAAAAAAGGTTTGCACAGAGCCACAACAAGGAAGACCAAAATAATTTCAGTCAAGTGGAGTGTGCTAGCTATTAACTGGAATAACACAGAGGAACACACTTACAAACATGATTAGGATCTTGCGTTGACCAAAAACGGAAAGATATCGTCTTCTTAATCAACTAGCATAGTAAAAACAGAACCGAAAGCCATTAACCAAAGCATAAACAAATTTGAAAGAAAGATTTGGCAGTAGAGACCGTCAGCATCCAGTCCCGTGACCATAGACAGAGATCCGTGCGTTGAAAAAACAGAGTAGAAAAAAAGCAGGGCAAAGAGACAGGGGAGGGGGGGATTTACCGAGGAAAGAAGGAGAAGAAGATGAAGGCAGGAAGAACGATTCAAGCGGCTGAGAAGCGCCACCTCGATGGGTTTGAAGCAGGACGGTACCCAAACTGCACACGCCGCCATGGTGTTTCTGAAAGTCAGTAGCCGGACAGTATAACAACCATTCCCAGGATAATTTTTTTGACATAATCAAACACTGCTACTTGTATTGATTCTCTACCAAAACCTTACTTTTTCTTGTCCCAGCTTGATAGTGAAAGATTGGATTATGAAGTCCCTGTGTCCATCCAGGTCAGGTATGTCCTGCAATGTAACAAAATGAAAAGTCTTGCACCAAAAGTTAACTTACATATAACTAGCGACAAAGCAAACCCATTTGGGAAGTTTATTTTTGTTAAGGGATTTGTTTTGAGAAATTGTAAAACGGTGCGAAAGTTTAAACAAACACGAGATTTTACGTGGTTCAGCCTCACAATATATGAGACCTACATCCACAGAACACGACTACTCTTGTTATTAACTTATGGTCATTGGCCTTACATGAGAGCTATTTATAAGCTCCTGTCTCACGTCTAAACAAGAGCAAAGAGTTCTATTCCAACAATGAATAGAAAAGGGATTATTACTTTCCATACAAGTGTTCTGCCTATCCTTATACTCCTCAGAAGTGAAGTCTTCTTCCTCAACTGGAAAGGCTGGACGAGAGACTAAGTGGGCTTGAGGTGAGTCCTCTCGGCCCAATACACCCCCCCCCCCCCCCAAGCTGAACTGTGCAGGTCACGAACATTCAGCTTGGAAACCAAGAACCGAAAACGATCCTTGCCAAGACCTTTGGTGAAGATATCGGCGACTTGAAACTGGGAACTGACTTTGCAGGGCAAAATGTCACGAGATACTACTCGTTCACGGACAAAATAGCAATCCATCTCAACATGCTTAGTCCGTTCGTGGAAGACCAGATTAGGTGCGATATGAAGAGCTGCCTGATTGTCACAAAAGAGCGGTGTAGGCTGATTTTGGGGTACACCGAGCTCACTAAGTAGCCATCTCAACCAAACTATCTCACTAACTGTGCTGGCCATGGCACGATACTCGGCCTCAGCCGATGAATGAGCAACAACTTTCTGTTTCTTAGTACGCCAAGAAACATGAGCATTACCCAAACGAACAAAGAATCCCGAAGTGGACCGACGTGTGCTCTCACAACCACCCCAGTCTGCATCACAATAACCAACCAGATCAAGAGAACCATCAGCAGGGAAATAAAGCCCTTGACCCGTGTTCTGCTTAAGATAGCGAAGCACACGCATCGCCGCATCCATGTGAGCTTGTGTAGGAGCATGAACAAACTAACTAAGGATATTAACACCATAAGTAATATCCGGACGAGTGACAGTGCGATAGAGAAGGAGACCAACAAGACGTCGATAAGCAGAACCATCAACGAGAGTGACATCAGAAGACCGTGTCAAGTGATGATTCTGTTCAACTGGAAAGGCGCTGGGACGAGCAGCTTGAACACCTGCCTCTTCAAGTATATCAAGGATATACTTACGTTGACTTAGGATGATGCTACGGGGCGAACGAGCTACCACAATACCCAAGAAGTAGCGGAGAGGACCCAAATCCTTGATACGAAAATGCTGATCAAGGAAAACTTTAACACGAGAGATGAAAGACATGTCATTGCCAGCTAAAATGACATCATGCACGTAGATAAGAGCAACTACAAACACGTCATCTTTGCAATAGATAAAAAGAGAATGATCTGCCGGAGATGAACGAAAACCAAGTTCACCGAGAGACGCAGTAAACTTATGATAGCAATTACGAGATGCTTGATGAAGACCATAGATGGATTTGTGGAGACGACATACTCGAGTGTCCCCCTTCTCCGCAAAGCCAGGAGGAATTCGCATATAAACCTCCTCATCCAGATCACCATGAAGAAAAGCATTATTAACGTCGAGCTAGTGAATGAACCACCCACGATTGACAGCCACGACAATTAAGCAACGAACAGTGACCAGTTTTGCTACCGGAGCAAACATATCATGATAATCGACACCTTCAACCTGTGTATACCCTTTAGCCACGAGAAGGGCTTTGTAACGCTCGATTGTGCCATCAGGAAAATACTTTATCTTGAAAACCCATTTCGAATCAATGATACGACGACCGGGGGGAGGGTCAACAAGACTCCAGGTGCCATTTTGGATGAGGGCGGTAATTTCTTTGATCATAGCCTCACGCCAATGCGCATACTTAACAGCCTCATTGAAAGTCTTGGGCTCATCCTGGCATGTGACAGCAGCCAAGAAGGTCCGATAAGCAAGTGTTGCACGAGAATATGAGACATGAGCGGACAGAGGATAAACAACTGACTGGGCCGCATGAACTGTGGTGTCATAATCGTCCAACATTTTGGGATGATGGCGGACTCAGTCGCCGCGACGAAGAGGAGCAGCCTGATCCAGCAGGGGAGCCTCAGGGACAGCGCGCTGAGCTGGTGACAAAGGGGACGACGCTGGGCCAGGAGAAGCCGGGCCGGATGGACCGGTGGGCTGTGCTGGGGATGAAAAGGAGGACGTTGGGCCAGGAGAGGCTTGGTCGGATGGGCCTGCGGACGAGCTGGCAGACAGTCTTGCTGACGGACCTGCTGACGGGCTGGAGACGGGCCCAGGTTCTGGAACATGGGGAGCGAGCTCGGACTCAACTGAAGTGGAGCCTAAGCCTCGAGAAGAACTGGGATCCAAAGGTGGATCCACAAGGGGTGTTGACGAAAATAACACTGGGTCAGGGAACTCAAAATTTTCTAGGGGAACCCAATGAAGACTTTGCTGATCAGGGGATCTAAAGGGAAAATGATCTTCGACAAATAAAACGTCCCGAGAGACTATGAACTTTTGAGCAACGAGATCATATAGACGATACCCTTTTTGATCAGCTGGATATCCCAAGAAGACACAAGCGTGGCCTCTGTCAGCAAACTTGTGAAGACCACGATGAGTGTCCTTCGCGTAAACAAAACAACCAAATACGCGAAGATGACCGTAAGGTGTTGGCTTACCAAAAAGAATTTCAAAGGGAGTCTTGCCTGTTGCGGATGTAGGAAGCCGATTTAATAGATAGACTGCTGTCAACACACATTCGCCCCAAAACTGTATGGGCAGGCCGACATGAAAACATAGTGCTCGTGCTGTATCGAGTATGTGTCGATGCTTCCGTTCAACAACTCAATTTTGTTGAGGAGTGTCAGTGCAACTGGTCTGAAAATGAATTCCCTGTTGAATGTAATATTCACGGAGGACTTTGGTCTGAAACTCTGTTCCATTGTCACTTTGAATACGACGCACACGACGATGAAATTAAGTTTGGACCATCTCCATGAATAACAACAAATACTTAGCAACATCGGACTTATAACAGAGAAGATAAACCTAGACTGCACGGCTAAAATCATCGACGATGGTGAGAAAATAATGAGCTCCATCAGTAGAAGGAACACTGTAATTACCCCATAGATCAAGATGAACAAGTTCAAAACAATCCGTCGTTTTAATGCTACTAGAAACAAACGGTGTACGAGTCTGCTTAGCACGAGAACACGAATGACAAAACTCCTCACTAATGCGAAGTGTAGGAGACAAAAGAAAAGCTAGCTGCACCATCTTGGACATAGAAGGATGACCCAGCCTTGAATGCCAGACTTTGGACGAGACTGTTAGGCCTCCTGCGGCGGCAAATGCTTGACAGTCACTGCTTGCGAAGAGGCGAAGATAGTAAAGACCATCACGGAAAATCCCCTTCCCAATCACGGTCTTGGATTGTAAGTCCTGAAGAATTCAAAAGTCATGGAGAAAAATCAAAGCAACGTCGTTCTCCTTTGTCAAACGACTAACAGACAAAAGATTACAACGAAATTGGGGCACATGAAGAACTCTATCCAATTTCAACCCTGATGATAACACAACTAACCCTACTTTGGCCACTGGAACACTGGTGCCATTAGGGATCTTAACAGGCCGGCTGGGGGAATCCAATACCACATTACTTAACATGGAATCATCAAATACGATATGCTCGTTGCAGCCCGAATCAATCAGCCATTCAGAACAGGGAAACGACATGCCTGCCATGTTTGAGGAAGGTGATTCGGCTGATGGTGACTGGAAGATGAACAGCTTAAGCTGCTCGAGCTGCTGCATACTGAAACCTGGGACTGGACTCTCAGTTGCGGCCTATGCAGCTTTCGGATTCTGTGGGTCGTTGGAGTTGCGACGACGACGACCACTTTGATTGTTGTCGGTAGCTTCTTGCGGTGATTTGTCCCAGTTTGGCCATCCAATTATATCGTAGCACGTTTCCTTGCGATGACCGGGTTTTCCGCGATGAGAACACTTGAGTCGAACTCTTTCACGGCCATCAGATTGACGTGATGCAGCGCGATCTCCTTCTTCCTGGGTATGAAAGGCTGCTGCATCAGGCTGGGGTCTACGCTTTTGGGCAATAAGTCTCTGCTTCTCGTCGGACAAGATGATGTTGAAAGCTTCCGTGAGACTTGGAGTTGGTTTCATGGTTAGGACCTATGTACGAACCGTTCGAAAGCTGTCATCCAAGCCCATCAAGAAGTCGAAAAGGCGATTGCTCTCATCCCTTTCTTTGGTGCGATGCTCAAGCCTGCATGTGCATAGCCCACAAGAACACTTAGGTGACGGGGAGATTGACTGAGATTCCTCCCAGTAAGTACGCAAACGAGTGTAAAAGGATGATACACTCAACTTCAGATTCTTCCCATTGTAATGAGTATGACTGCTTTGTATCTTATTTTCCTCTCTCTCTCTATGGAGTAGAACCCCTCTCTCACTTGGGGATGAAGAACCCTAGTTCTATGTGTTAGGGATTGATTGTAATGACTTGGGATGATATTACTGTTTGATTTTAATCGAATGATGCATGTTTATTGAGTCAATTGAAGTCTGATCAACTTTTCCTGATTCCTGCTGCAATCTGAGATAGATAGAATCTGATTAGGTTGCTAGAGTCTCATCATTCGATAGTAGGAGATTGGCTATACGAGAGTTAGCCAGTTTACTGCTTTGTACTGGAATCCAATTCCAGTAGTGGAGTTCTGTTCTTACTGCTTCAGCTTTCTATCCCGGTGAAGACTAGTCGTCTGCCGGGTAGTTAGGCTGATAGGGCTTGGTCAGCTTAAGAGATTCCAAGCTACTGTCGGATCTTCCGCAGTCTAATCAACAGTAAATCACCCCAGGGAAATACAATTGAAACCTAACTAAGGAGCTAGGGGGACTCATTCCCGAGTGACTCTTACCTGCTTAAGAAAACCGTATCGATTCCTGCTTTCTTTCTGCTTTTGGTTTTAAACAACAATCACTTACTTTAGTTGGCTAGATTATAGAGAATCACGGAGTAAGCAGTAGATCTAGACCCCGGGTTGATAATATAACTTGCCTGTTACTGCATTCCCGGTCTGCGATTATACTTGGTCGCAGATGGTGTTGTGTTTTGGCGTGTCAAGTTTTTGATTCCCCTCCCGGAGAAATGCATACTCCAGCTGAGAGGGGAGGGGCTTAAGCTCCAGCTCTGGTGGCTCCTCCAATGATGTAGCGATCCGGGGCGAGATAGGGATCGACTTGAATGGTATCTCTCGCCCCTCGATCATGGCCTCATCTAGCTCCGCGAGCTGCTCCTCCAGCTCCATGTCCTGTGATGCCTGTTCCCCTAGCAAAAGACAACGCTCAAGGAAATCATCAGTACCCGCACTCGTGATGGCGAGTGCGGTCTCAAAATCAGCAACAACATCACAATAATCTAGATCATCATGGAGCTGGGGGTGTTTCATATTATCAGAAACAGAGAAGGTGATTTGTTCACCCCCAGCTCTCAAAATCAGTTTTCCATCATTAACATCAATAAGCGCCTTGGCGGTGGCGAGAAAAGGTCTACCCAGTATCAATGGCACATCAACATCCTCATTTATGTCCAAAATCACAAAATCAACAGGATATGAAAATGGCCCTACTGCGACTATCAAGTCCTCTGCTATACCCCTAGGATGCACAATGGATCTATCAGCAAGCTGGATGCTCATCCTAGTATCACTGGGTTCACCTAAGCCTAGCTTTTTAAACAGTTTATAAGGCATGACATTTATGCTAGCGCCTAAATCCGCCAAGGACTTCCCTACATGCAAACTACCAATCATGCAAGGGATAGTGAAACTCCCTGGGTCTTTTCGCTTCTCTGGTAGTTTGTTCTGCAGGATGGCAGAACACTCCTTGTTGAGCATCACCGTTGACAGCTCCCCAAGCTTCCTCTTGTTGGTGAGGAGATCCTTCATGAATTTGGCATACTTGGGCATCTTCGATAATGCCTCCACGAAGGGCATGCTAATGTTTACCTGCTTCAGCATTGCCATGAATTTGGCAAACTCAGTCTCCAGTCGGTCCTTGTGCAACCGAGTAGGAAAGGGAAGCTGTGGTACATACTCCTTCACCACTAGTTACGGTTTAGGAGCAGGCACCTCAACCTCCTTCTCCATTTCTTCCTGATTAGCTGGAAGTGCTGGAGCAGGGGTCTCTCTCTCCTCTGCCCGAACAGGTGGATCGGCAGTCACCTTGCCACTCCTGGTTGTGATGGCACTGCAGTTGGCATTCGGATCTTGCGGGTGAGGAATAGTCTGACCAGGCAAGGTACCAGGGGTCCTCTGAGCTACAGCCTGGGCAACACTCCCAAGCTGGGTCTGTATATCCCGCAGCACAGCCTGTGTATTTCTCTGACCAGCTTCTAGCTCCAAGAATTTTCCTGAGGCTTTCTCCATGAATTGCTCGATGTTATTGAACTTGTTCGCACTGGAGGTGGCCAGAGAACCCACCAAATCTCTCAATTCCGCCATCGGGTCACTTTGTACTGGAGCTGTAGGTGCTGCTCCTGTCTGCTGAAATGGTCGCACCTGTGACTGTGGTGGAACTGGCCCCTGTCTGGGCTGGTAGAGTGGCTGATGTGGCTGCTGAAATTGCCCCTGTCTGGGCTGGTACGGAGGCCTCTGGAAGCCAGGTGGTCCCTGGGGAGCTGGTGGTTTGGGATTTGCCCCAGCCTAGGAAAAGTTAGGATGCTGGCGCCACCCCTCGTTATAAGTGTTGCTGTAGGGGTCGAAGCGCCTGGAATTACTGATAAAGTCCACCTGCTCCTGGGGAGTAGACGATTCCCTCATCGCCTGGCAGTCCTCTACGGTGTGATGGGAGCTCTCACACCACTGGCAGTGCATCGCCTGCGGCTGTCCTGTACCTGCATTCAAACCAGAACGATCGATAGCTGAAACCAGCTTCGATACCACCTGCACCAAATCAGATGACTGGGTGCCCACAGCATGCACACCCCGGCCTGGTGCTCATCTCGATCTCCTGGCAGTGCCCCAATCGTACCCGTTCTCCGCCATCTCCTCAAAGAGTTGATTCAGTTGTGGCGGTGTTTTGGTCAGCATGTTCCCGCCACAAACCGAATCAATCAGCTGCTTGTCCTCCGGGAAGAGGGCGTGATAGAAGGTGCCCACCTTGAACGCATCATTGAAACCATGATTGGGACACCTGAGGAAAAGACTGGTGTATCTCTCCCAAGCATCCCTGATGGTCTCATCCTCGTCCTGAGCAAAATGGCTAATTTGCTTCTGCATGTCAGCTGTCTTGGATGGAGGATGATAGCGGGTGAGGAACTTGTCCGCCAGGTTGGCGAACGTGGTGATAGAACCTGGAGTTCGAGTATCTAGCCACTCCTTGGCCTGCCCCTCCAGGGTGAATGGGAAGTACCTCAGCTGGATGGCATCTGCTGGTACCCCAT